TTCTCTTTGCAGTAAACTCTGACGTTGCGTTTCCTAAAGTTGCTTTACGTGACGTGTTGCTGGTTCTCTAAAGTTAAATCAGTAAAGAAACTTTCCATGTAGTTCTGTTCGCGTTTGTGCTGAGTTTGGGAAACCAGCTTGTTTGGAGCGTGTTTTTATGAAAGAAACCATGACCGGTTCTAAGTTTTGTGGAGTCCAATTAAAAGAAAAATAATTTGGTCAGCTAGAACATATTTGATTTCAAGTACATTCAAATAAACAGCTTTCTATTACAATGGTTTTATTTTCAAGCATATGAAAGTGAGAGATTTGAATTACAAACTTTTCAAGCAATTAGATTAACTGGCTTTCAAAATTGGCTTTAGTATATAGCCATTATCAGATCAGACTTTGGTGTACTGATGATATCTCTGTGTAAGTAGTAAAAGTTACTGTCTCATCTTTTTAATAGGCAGATATTTCACCTGTTATCAGCTCTCTCACTTCAGAGAGCTTTTAATTTATTCAGCCATTGTTTAGAATGAGATTATTTGAATGCTTTTCTTAACATACTTTGCTTTCATTTGAGAAAAAACCTATGGTACAGTTTAATCTCAAAAAGAAAAATAAGGGGTCAGCACAGTTCAGTACTGTGATATGATCATGTCAAGGCAGAAGTGAAGGTGATTCAGATGCTTCTCCTCGTTAGTAATGACAGAATTCTGTAAGGGCAGACCTAGTTATCGTCACTTGAGCAACCTGTTCAACCCTGCGTTTTGTGACTTAGTTTGTAATTTGTCAAATGAGGGAACAAATACAGCAGTGCTTGCATTCAGAGTTTGAGGATGTGCCTTTTGTAAAAATGCTGTTACTCTAAATGCTGTAAGTATTTTTCAGACTTTGGGATGCTCACGTATTTTATTCAACACCTAGTCCAGTTCAGCCAAAAGTATTTCTCATCTGTATCAAACTTGCATTTGGCACCTTTCTGGAAGCACTTGTTTAAAATATAGTTAAATGATATTGTGTGATTGTACTTTTGCAACATTTTTAGAATTTGATGTTCTTGACAAATACCTAGAAAGAGTTTGCTGATTTTTTTTTTTTTATTACAGATCATTTTATCCATTTACTGAACCTTGAAATAGGAGCTCTGAGGATGAGTGGTTATTCTTACAGTAATACTGGTTTCATTTTGATTCCAAACTAGCTGCCTTTTCTTGGTTTAGCCTAATGCTTAGCTACATCTCAGGCTATGCTTATTAAACAGCTAGTAACAACTAGCTCAGGTTTTGAAAAATGGCTTTGAAGGTGTGTTTGACGTTACCAGCTGTCTATAAACTAGGGATCTCAAAGCTCATCCAAAAACTAATTAGGCCTGATGACACACTTGTGAGGTATGCACACATTTCATAATTGTGACTTTTCTGGATTTGAGTCATAGTCGGGAGTAAAACCCAGGCAATCTTGTTTAATCACTAAACTAGAAATATTCTTGAGTAATCTGAAACTGCTCTTCTTTCAGATTTTTTGAGTGGTTATGTTTCCAGAGGTTTATTATTTTACAGCTATTGCTATGTATATTTAGCACAGTTTAGTATTGTATGTTTTGTGTGATTTTGAAATTGTTGCTAAAGTGGACTGTCCAGTTGCTCGTGCCTAAAATGGGAACTGGTGACTCATTCAGTAAAAGCTCCAGCAGAATCAGCAAAAGTACAGCATGGGTAGGTGTGTCCACTTGGTAACAAGTTAACTGCTGAATGGGAATTGCCTACTGCAAACTAGTGCAGCCTTTTATGACTGAAATGTAATGAAAGTTAGCCAATTTTACTAGTCGTGAATTTTAATGAGGAGCTTGTACCTGATTGCAGATGTATTCAGATGTAATGTAAAATCTGTTGTGGAATGGCAGCATAGTGTTAAGCAGAAATTTTTAAATTTCTTGTACTTCTGCTGCTGAGAATTTCCATGCTGTCCTTGTCTCTGGAGAAATTGCATTGGTCTAAGATAGGTGCTCACCATTAGTTGAGAGTGGTAATGTTTGCAAAGGCTGGTATGGACCCGCTTTGAGTCAGATGTTGGGGAAATGTGCCCAGGAACACACATTTTTGAGGAGTGGCAGGATTATTCTAGAAGCAATTAGGATGAATTAGAAAAGCCTCTTTTCTAGTAAAGGAAGCCCTGTTGCTACTTCTGGAAATAATGAACTGTTTGTTGCTGGCACTTTTGCTGGTGCTGGCAGTAATAATTCTAATGACTTCCAGGGTAATACTGAAGAGTTAGATGTTTCTACTGTGGCCAGTCTGATATCCACAGTTCTTATTTCTTTGGCCATCTTTTTTTTATCCTTTTTTTTCTCTTTTGTTTTGTAATGTAAAACCTTCCAATGCTTTTTGTTTCTCATTATCAGTATCTAGGTTGTCTTTTTTCTCCTGCTTAATTTATATGAAGTTGGTGAAAGCTTTGTTAACTTATTTAAAAGACTGGCAATGCTTATATTTTTTGTGGCTTCAGTTTAAATCAGTTGTTGACTTACTACTCTTATGTGAATATGGTAATAGCATCAACAGATTATTTTTTTTACAACAAAATGTTAGATATCTGTCTCATTAACTTCTACAGATGTCTTTCAGAGAATATAATCTTCAAATTCACTTGCAATCTGAAAACATGGCAAGAAAGGATGTAAATCATGGCGTGCCAGCTGAGCCAGAGGCTGATTGCAAATTTTATTTGCTTATGATATCCAACAACATTGCTAAAGATAAAAGCAGCACTTAAAGAACAAAAACGTAAAATAAAGATTTTCATAATGTGACTGGCCTTTGGTCCTCCTCCTAAGAAAAGCAATTAACTGACATGGTTACTGTTTTTAAAGTAATACTAAATTGATTTCAGCCTTGTTAACATTGCATTGCTCTGCTATATGCAAATTGCAGTGAAGTGAGTTAGTACCAATGAGTGTGATTTCAGGTATTCATTGGGACTTTTTTCAGTGTTCTTCCAGACGTACAGGAACAATGGTGAAAAGGAGGGAATGTAGGAGATGATAAAATATGTCTGCCATACTTGAGAACTCTTGCTCTTTCTCGCTTAAATACCTTGTTGACTTAAAACATCACAGACATGTCTTGTTGCTTTGAAGGGACATACGAAAACTGAAGAAGGCTCAATACTTCCCTATCTAAATACACTGAGATCTTAAATTCAGGCTTTGAAAAGTTAGTTATGGAGTTCTACTGGAAAAACTGCTCCTTTGGAGTAACAAACCTGGTTTATGTTAATTCATTTTGCTGTTTTAATGCTCGCTCCTTCCTTGAGCTTGTATGTATTTCATCATAACCTTTTAATATATATAATTTCAGATTTTAAAAATTAAGCGCTAGTTTTAAATGTCTTTGAACTGTCCCTTGTTCGTAGGTCCATCACAAATCTTTTTGGTCACTAAGGAAGGAGTTGTGTGGAACAGCTGCCTGAACCAGGCTTGAACTCTACCTAGCAAAGAAATGTGTCAGTTTAGGGGTATTGGTGATTTAGGAGTTCTTATGTTAATGTTAAGGTCTCATATAGGCACATCTGTACTCCTGAAAGCATTTTTATCGATACAGTATACATCTGTGTGATGTGGGAGTGGCCAGCTGATTTTCACAAATGTTAAAACTTGTCCTCCTGTGGAATAGGTCGTAACTGCCATCAATACATTTTCTCCTGTCACTGTACCACCTTTTCATAGCAGGCCCCAGTTCTTTAGGCTGCTGAGTTTTCTACAGCTGGTTGAGCTGACTTGTGCTCCTTCCTGTCTCATAAGCAAAGCTTTTCCTGAGGAGTTTTTGCTGGTTTTTACTTGCATAAAACAGAGTGGTTTTTATTCGCATTGGAGGTTTGGGTTTGCATATTGGTGGTGGTGCTGGAGTTAATAGTCAAAATTTTATGAAGAATTGTATTTCAAATGCTATTTGTGTGCTTATTAAGATACTTTAGCATTTCCTACTAATTCCATGATGTTTTTCCAGCTGAACGAGCTTTGGATACCATGAACTTTGATGTCATTAAAGGCAAACCAGTGCGCATCATGTGGTCTCAGCGCGATCCGTCTCTACGCAAAAGCGGTGTTGGAAACATCTTCATCAAAAACTTGGACAAATCAATTGATAACAAAGCTTTGTATGACACATTTTCTGCTTTTGGAAACATCCTGTCTTGTAAGGTTAGTGGAAAACTATTGGTGCGTGTAATGGTTTGACATAAACCCCCCTCAATTTACGCTGGAAACATTCCGTGGGTATTACAACAGAGTTTTTCTTTAATAGGTGGTATGTGATGAAAATGGATCCAAGGGTTATGGATTTGTACATTTTGAGACACAAGAAGCTGCAGAAAGAGCTATTGAAAAAATGAATGGTATGCTGCTTAATGACCGCAAAGTGTAAGTACATAAATACATAGTTGGGGACGAACAGACTGAAATTCATTTCACAGCGGACAAATACTTCAAGCTTACCTAGAAAAGACAGATTGTTCTAGAACTTCCTAATTTTAAAGAGGATTTAGAATTTTAGTGCTAGGAATACTATGAATTGTGTCACCTGCCTGTTCTAAAGGCAGAATAAGTTCAGAAGAGGCTAATAATGGACTCTAGGGAAAAAATTGTTGTATTAGTTGTCTTACAAGCCAATGCTGTAATGAGGATTTGGGAACTTCTCTGGTTTTCTGATCTTACTGGTCTGAGATAAAATACAGTCTATCCAGTATGATTCAGAATACTTCCCTTATAAGGGTTGAGATAGGTACATTATCCATTTTTTGGATGAAACTTTAAGCTCTAGAGTTACTCAGTCCTGAGTAGCAGTCAGATTACACTAATGTTTTTATATGAATGTCAGTCAGTAGGCATATCTGGGAAATAGGAGTAGAAAATACAACTTACAGAAGCATAATGTTTTAAACATTATCACTGTTCAATAGGGAAAAAATGTTATTTGGCTACTTGGTTAGTGATATCTAGGCTTGAGGGGGCGAGTGTGCAAAGCTGTGCCTAAGGGATCATTATGGTATTTGGTATAGTTGTAAAAGAATAGCTCTATACTTGGGAGGGTTTGGAAAAAGAATAAGAGAAATCAGCATCAGCTTACCATCATGAATTATTTTTACATGTAGAGATGGATGGATCAAGCCAGGAGAGAAAATACAGGGAGAACATACATTTTGAAACTCTGGTTTTCCTGCTTGTTCTGTGCTTGACCATGGATGTTTTTACTCAGCTTCCATCTTTATACAACCTTTTTAAATTGGTAAAAAAGGGTCAGCATGTAGTCATAAAAGCACATGATTTACGTAAACTTTGTTTGGTAAATGCATCATGAGAGTTAATTTTGCTTTGAATTTCTGTTTAGGCTAGGTTTTTTAAAGTGAATTAAAAACTATCAAAATCTGAACACATTGCACTATCATTCTTACCGTCCTCGGTTACTATAAATGCGATGAAGTTGTCAAACTTTAAGAAAATGTTGACTTACTGTATGCTACTTTATTGGATTTGTCAGATTTGGAACTATAAAGTTGGACAATACAATAAAATTTGACAGCATAAGTCTACTACAGTCAGAAATCGTTAGCCATGTAATGTCTGTACTAGAGCAGTTCCTTGGGTTGCAGAGTGTTGTGTTCGGCTTCTGTTCTTTCTCTGATGGTATGAACTGACCTTTGGTGTTCCCAGCCAAGTTGCAGTGGTATTTGATTAAAGACCAAGTTGAACTATTTATTTCTCTAAGCCTATTTAAAAAAACAAAAAAAACAAACAAAAAAACCCGCCCCAAAACACAAGACCCAAACCAAACCAATAAATAAACCCAAACCACAGACAAGTCTTATTCTGATATAGGCTGGAAAGGTGTGTAAGGGAGTAGGGAAGGTTAGTTAAATATCCCTTGCTTAAAAACTGGATCGGAGAGTGGTAATGCTTTAAGGTTGCCAAGTTTTTATTATGGTTATGGTAGAGGGGTTATGCTGATATCTAGAATTTCTGTTTAGCCGCTTTACTAATACTCTTTCTTACTGTCCAGCTCTTCTTGTCAAAGGCTGTTTTATAAGAGTGAACAATCTCGCAATGGCTTGAAAGCATTTTTATGCTAGTAACTGATAAGCACACCGATGTAGCAAAGGATAGTGAAATTGTGTTTCTGGTGGAGTTTTATCGTAAATATCTGAAGAATTTCATACTTATAATGAACAGTGAGACTGGTTAGAAATAAAACATGATGCCAGAGGATTAAAGTAAATTTTTAAACCATGACAGACTTTCTTTATACTATTCTGTTCTCCTGCAACTAGATTTGTTGGAAGGTTTAAATCCCGCAAGGAACGTGAGGCAGAACTTGGAGCCAGAGCAAAGGAATTCACCAATGTTTACATCAAGAATTTTGGAGAAGACATGGATGATGAGAGACTTAAGGAACTCTTTGGCAAGTTTGGTAATGTCTTAAACTTTAAGTTTATATAAACATGAGTGAACTTCAGCTTACTTCTTATATCTTACCTGTACAGTGCCTTATAGTACAAGGAATCAGCTGGCTGGCTGATGTTAATTTAAAAAAAAAAAAATTAAAAAGGTACTGAAAAGTTGGTACTTAATTTCAATTTCAGGTTCAAAGTGCAGTAATATCCACTGCAGAATTTTAAATAGGCAGAATAGCATGTATAATCCTACATCTGAATTATTTCAGATAATCTGAAAACAATGTGTCTAAATAGTCTTTTGAATGGGTTTCACAATTTTTTTTTAAAGTTGCAAATAGAAGTGTTTTCTGTTTCGGTACAGATTTATGTTCTGTATTCACTACAGGATACATGACAAATCAGTTTACTTTTGTTGACCTGCAGACTTATCTTTACTCTGAGTATCTCTGCTTTCATTATTCAGTTGTGTTGTGGTTGACCTAATATGAAATTAGAAGGAACATTTCCATTGGCAAGTTATTTGGTTCTGTCTTGATCCTCAGTTATGCACAGGGCAAAATTATGGCAAGCATACGATCATGACGTAATACATATGATGTGTCACCATCAAAATAGGAAATGGCAAACTCCTTAAGTCGGTTACAGATTCTTACACTGGTTTATAGGACACATCTATTTTATTTTCAGCCTTGGTGTGGGAGGGTTTTTTTGTATTTTCTTTCCTCTGTGCTTTTGCTGTTCTCCAGTGGATACCATGTAAAGCAAGACAAAGCCTTGTGTATAAGCTATTCTATAGCAGCCCTAAGCAGCATTTACAGGAAATTCCTTTCCACCATTGACATATCTGTGGTTGAAATGATAGCAAATTTAGCTGCTAACATCTGTCTCATTTGAGTCTGTGAACTGTGATTTTTCAAATGTTTGGAATTGCTGAACTGGGATGGCCTTTCACTGGCATAAGGTGGTGAAGCACACACCTAATAGAAAGGCCTCCTATCTGGCTTTCAAAGGATGAAAGCACTAATGCTTTTTAAATGTCATAATTTTTAATGAGAAAAACAGTTTCATTCACTTTGAGGTGAAATTCCTACCCCATTGTGGTAGAAAATACAGTAGGAAAGAAAGTCAGCATGGTAAGACTTCAGCTGTAATGGCTGAAGTTCAGCATCAGGGCAAATTAGTGATTTTATATTAATAGGTGATATTTACTAGATATGTTTAGTAGATACTACTATTGGCGCAAGAGTCCTTTGTAATACAAGTGAAACAAACTAAATATTAAAATTTCTAAACAGGATGTTCAAAATGTGAAGAGAATACACTCTGTGTATGAAGCATAAGTATTTCATTCTCTTTTTAGGTCCTGCCCTAAGTGTGAAAGTTATGACTGATGAGAGTGGAAAATCCAAAGGCTTTGGCTTCGTTAGTTTTGAAAGACATGAAGATGCCCAAAAAGTAAGCTTTTGGACTTCATTTTAGGAATCCTATAACTGAAACCCAAATAATATGTTTCATTGAGTGATTTGAAATCTTGTGAATTCATTAAGGGTTTTTAATTGGTCAAGGACACTGCAAAAACAGGTGTCTGATTTTTAAATGACTTGGCATAGTTTCTGTCGTTTAGAATGCTTCCTTAGGAGCAAATGTCAGTTGATTTGAGGAGCCTTGTAAGTAAAGATGCTATGATACAGCTTGAACTGGTGTAGAAATGAGGAATCTTGAATAATTTAATAATGTGTTGTAGTTGGGCTTAAAGGTCTTGTTAAGCTTTGGACTCCCTCATGCTGGGCAGCATAACAAGCATAGTAAATTATTACATCTCTGCGAAACCCAGATGAATCATTGGATCCAGTTTGGTTGCACAAAACATTTGTGCAAGGCAGAAAGGATTGTGTTTTCAAACTTCACCATTGCAAAGTCAGCAG